CTCTGATCTCCAAAACCCGACGGCACAGCCCACTTTCAGGCCCCACTGCACCAAACACTGCTGTGTTCTGGGCCTCAGCAACTTCAAAGATGGTGAACCTAAACTATAAAAAGCCAGCGACCCCACCTCCATGAGTAAATGCAGGCTCCATCAAGGACAGAATGGTTCCCACCAAACTCCAATTCAATAATGGCCACGTGGCACACACGTCTTGCCCTCAGATCTCAACTGGCGAGATTCCCCTTTCTTTTGGACTTCCTTTATGGGCTCCAGAATGATCTGGAACAGTCAAACTGGCACCCCTCCAGGCATAAAGCAGGGGAAGGCCAGCCCACTCAGCGTTCTTCTGCCTCTGACTTGGAGAAATGAGGCTCTGGTCCCCACGTTCACATGAAAGCACCGTCTGCAGAGCACTTGCTTTCCTGAGAATTTGCACAATAACCCTGGAAACCAGCAGCACAAAGCACCAGTTTTACAGCAGAGGCTGAGGCTCAGGTGCAAACAAGCACCAAGGACAAAGAGAGACAAAGCACTGAGTCTGGAACCTGATCAGCTGACCGAAGATGACCTTTTCATTCTCCTCCTCTAAACTGCTGGCCAGGAAAAGAGGAAGGAAGGAAGGAAAGAAGGAAGGAAGGAAGGAAGGAAGGAAGGAAGGAAGGAAGGAAGGAAGGAAGGAAGGGCAAAAGAGAAAGAGAATGAAAGAAAGAGAATGGGAGAAAGAGAAAGAAGAGAGAGCAAGAGAGAAAGAGAATGAGAGAAAATGAGAGTGAAAGAAAGAAAGAAAAGGAAGGAAGGAAGGAAGGAAAGAAAGAAAGAAAGAAAGAAAGAAAGAAAGAAAGAAAGAAAGAAAGAAAAGAAAGTGCATTTCAATTTATATTGCTTTTCGCCTTTTTATTTCTTTGCACTGTGGAATTTTTCACTTGGAAGGGGAAACTTTGAAATAGCTGATTGTTGAGAGTAACAACAGGCATTTGACATTGAACTCAAGAAAACAGAAGAGACAAGATAGACCAGAATCATGAATAATGATGTCCAAAAAACAGCAGTAGTAAATTAAAAAGATGAGGGTGTGAAGGAGGTTGGCCCCGAATGTTGACCGCGCTCTCACCTTTGTCCTGAAATATCCACCTCACACCCAGCTCCTGGTTAATGAACATAATTGGGTTGATATCCCTTGAACTGTATAATCTGTTCCACTGAAAAACAAACCCACAGTTTGTCTACCCGCTACTTGAAAAGCCCCAACTCCCCAGTTACATTTGGTCTATGGAAAACATCTGTGGCAAAGTAAATCATCTTACTCTGAGAAAGACCAGAGTGTCATTTTTTATTTTTTATTTTTTTTCTCCCTCTAACTGTGTTTTGAAGTCTTGGTTGGAAAATTAGTGAAAATTGTAAATCTGTTTACAAATCTGGTCTTGTTCTCACTCTGAGATTAGGGCAAAGACTCCTATTTAAAAGCAAAACCATGACAAGCCTGGTTAAGTGTGTCCTCGGGCCCTGCCAGCAGGGCCCTCGCTCACCTTCACGGGCAGTGGGTTTATTACAGGCCCCCCGACACCTCCCCGTCAGACACCCCTGGAGTATGTACTCGAGACAGCAGGGTTCAGTCTGCACTTCCTCTGCAGACCAATATATTATTATAAATGGAGCTAAACTGTTTCCTTTGCATAGAGCTATGAAGTTCAGATTTCAGATATTAGCAGGGAACTGAGCCCCCCTTCACCCCCACCAGGCCCCAGGCGCCTTAGGCTGCTACTGAGACTTTTAAAGGTAAAGCTTGAAGGTAGCACCACGCCTCTGCTCCCTGTAGTCTTTGTTTTGTTGGAGAGAGGATGAAGGAAACTCCATCATAGGCAGAGAATATGATGTTTGAACACGTAAACATTCTCCATGCACAGTAACAGCACTGTGAGGTAACACAGCACGGGTAAGGAGCTTGCCTTGCACGTAGCCGACCCGGGTTCGATCCCGGGAATCCCATAAGGTTCCCTGAGCATCGCTTGAAGTAATTCCTGAGTGCAGAGCCGGAGTAACCCTCAGGAGGAAAAAAAAAAAAAATATATATATATATATATATTCTAAATCCAAACACTGGCTACTGTGCTGTGTGTGCATGGCACAGCTCAGTAGGGTTCCAACTATTTCACCTGTATCTAAAAGCAAGAAGGGAAGAAGTTAGGAATGAATCTTATGTCTTAGATATCAGCTCCTAAGAAACTGCAACATCCTACTTCTATTTAGGAAGTATAATAGCAAAAGGACACATTGTGTGTGCATATGTGCATGCGTGTGTGTGTGTATGTGTGTGTGTGTGTGTGTGTGAGAGAGAGAGAGAGAGAGAAAGTGTGTGTGTGTGTGTGTGTGTGTGTGTGTGTGTGTGTGTATTGTGTTGGCTTCTTACCTCACCTGGCAATGCTCAGGATCTGCATCCTATAGAGCTCAGAGGAACTGAGGATTGAACCCAGGCCTCCTGCATGCAAACCAGGCTTTCAGCCCACTAAGCTCTCTCTCAGCCCCACCAAATGGCTATGCTTACGTGAATATTTTCTATCACACAGAAGTCAAAAGGATAAGACTAAGATTTTCATCATTAACCTTTCTCTGAGGCAAGTGAAAAAAAAAAGATACAAACAAGAAAACAATGCCATCTCTGGCTCTTTCCTGCCTGAGCCCCATACTGCAGACAGATACAACATGCAGAGGGAGGGAGTGTGGGGCACAGAACAGGGGGTGAAGGGAGTGACCTGACATGGGGTGGCAGCACCCAAGTGGGAGGAGAAGAAAAGGTCTGGGGCTAGGAGATTCCTGGCTCAGTCCCCAGCAATTCTTGGCTGCCTGAACAACATTGGATGTCACCCCCCAGGGGCCACCAAGCACTGCCAGTGGTTCTGGAGGCCCCATGCAACATGGGGGTTATCCTGAATAAAACCTTGGCCCCACCCGATGCGAGGGGTACTGCATTCTCAGACCCCTGCACTCAACCACTAGCAAAACTGACAAAGAAATGCCAGGAGTGGCCCTGGGTGCCCTGAGCACGGCTTGGGAGGTCCCTTCTCCCCTCAAAATAGAACAAAATTCACTTCCTGTTTCTTACTAGGAGTGAAATCACATTTAAGGGGTTGGAGCAACAGCACAGCGGCTAGGGCATTTGCCTTGCATTCGGCCGACCCAGGTTCGATTCCCAGCACCCCATATGGTCCCCTGAGCAGCGCCAGGAGTAATTTCTGAGTGCATGACTAGGAGTAACCCCTGTGCATCAACAGGTGTGACCCAAAAAGCACTGCAATGCACTGCAGCACTGTCCTCTCATTGTTCATCGATTTGCTCGAGCGGGCCCAGTAACATCTCCATTGTGAGACTTCTTGTTACTGTGTTTGGCATATCGAATACGTCACAGATAGCTTGCCAGAATTTGCCGGGCGGGCAAGATACTCTCTGTAGCTTGCCAGGCTTTCCGAGAGGGGTGAAAGAATTGAACTCGACTTGGCCGGGCTGGCCGTGTGCAAGGCAAATGCCCTACCGCCGTGTTATTGCTCCAGCCTGACCCAAAAAGGGAAAAAAAAAATCAAATTTAAGGAACTACAACAATATAACTTTGATTTTCTTTTCCTTTTGCAACCTATTCCTTAGAATTATTGAGAAAAGAAGGCTTAACTTACATTTTCCCTAATAAATCTAGTTACTGTGTACCTAGCATTATAATATCATACATCCAGTTATGTATGTATACCCCCCAAAAGAATGAAAAGGGGTATCTTAAATAAACATGAACCTGACTTTTATATTCTTCTTTCATTTTATACTTTTCACTTTCTTTTCTTCTACGATGACCACATATTACCTTCTCTACCAGAAAGAACGCACTACTTAAATAAGTGGAAGACAGGGAATGTTTTACAATTTACTATAGTAAATGTGTATTTACTACTTTAATAAAATTAATGTAACTTACTTAATCATAATATTATGTAATTTTCCCCTGTTTTTCTTCATTTTTGAATTTACTGCTTTTCACACCAAAAATTAATAAGGTCACTGAAAAATGCCTCAACCCTGGTCCTCATCTCCTTAAAAGAAGCAAACTGCCAACAGAAAGTCTAAAGCCCAAAGGAAAGTAATTTTTTTTTGGCTGAAATTAATACCCACTTACCCTCAAGGTAAATATTCACATTTGGTCATCTTTGAAAATGAAATCATTATCTATTTTACTAACAAATGATCTTCAGTGATGGGGCAGAGACTTCCGAGTAGAAGATTAGCCTCCTCAGGGAAGCAGGTGAGGGGAAAGGAGAGAACTTCAACCCTAAAAGCGTTCTTTCCACGGTGGGAAAGTAACTGTGCTTGTAACCCATAACCCACTCCACCAGCTCCACAGTTTCTCGTAGCCTGATCTTAGCTGAAATATGGCCCGAAAAACTCAGTGACAAGTGAATAGAATCTAGTTACTGTATATGAAGAAACTAGACTCAAAAATGTTAAGAAACTAGACTCAAAACTAGAAAAACCGGGGCTGGAGAGATAGCACAGTGGGTAGGGCGTTTGCCTTGCACGCGGTCGACCTGGGTTCGATTTCCAGCATCCCATATGGTCCCCTGAGCACCGCCAGGAGTAACTCCTGAGTGCAGAGCCAAGAGTAACCCCTGTGCATCGCCGGGTGTGACCCAAAAAGAAAAAAAAAAAACTAGAAAAACCTCTCTCTGCAAGAACTTGTAGTGACGGGCTTCAGTCTGAGGAGCTGATTTAGCAGCTTTGATAAAGAGTCCCTGAAAATAGTTTCGCATGTTGAAGAAATGCCATAAACACGTAGAATGAAAAAGAAGAAAAACTTTTAAATAGCAGCTGTATCTCAAAAAGCAAAATGAAACAAAACTGATGTATAGAAATTTCATTATCTCAAAAGCAAGCTTATTTCAAAAAGCAAATTCAAATTATCTATCCAATAGTCTAGACCTTAGACACTAGAGCTTCAATATAGTTTTGAATCTCCTATTTACCAAGCATAAAATAGCAGTCTCCTTGGCGGAGGGGTATTGCCAAGCCAGGTGTCTCGATGTCCCAGGAGATTTTAAAAGCCACATGCCATGTGTCAGGGTCTCTGCCTTCAAACTGAGGATCATCCTCGCTTTCTTCTTCCTCAGGATCTGTCAAAAAAAGAAAAAAAGAGAAGAGGAAGAATAGAAATGAAACATTTCGTATAAAGTTCCAGACTCTATTGTAGTTTGACTAACTGAAGTTTTAATAAAATAAGGATGTTAAAAGTGATGCAGATCCTTATTTTCTTAAAAAAAAAAAAAAGAGGCTGGAGAGATAGTATAGCAGGGAGGGCATATGCCTTGCACATGCCTGAGCTGGGGTTCGACCCACAGCATCTCATATAGTCTCCTAAACACAGCCAGAAGAAATTCCTGAACACAGAGCATAAATAACCTCTGAGCACCACCAGGTGTGCCACCCCCACCACCTCTTAAAAAAAAAAAAAAACCCACTAGACTATTTTTAGATGCCACTCATTTTTTAATTTTAAAACATCATAAAATGGTGAGAAAATAACCAAGGATATCAAAATGAAAATTACTGTGTTAAATTAGATGAAAATAAATAAGAAAATGTGAATTAAATAGAAAGCTTTTTAGAAAGAAATTGTGTACCAAAACCAATATCAAGAAGCAGTAGAAGAAACAGAGGATGCTGATTAAGATCAATCTTTCCGAAAAATGCAGGCCCAGAGAACATCTGCCAAACAAATAAGAAATCTCAATACACATTAAATTATTTGAGCGTAGACAAAGGAAAATTTCCAAATTCTTTTCATTAAGATTAATAATGTATCAAAATGCAGAAAAATACATATGCACAACCATTCTCACATCTGAAAACAATGAAAAGTCCTGAACATAAGGAAAGAGAATCTAAATCCAGTAGCATATTAAAAGAATAACACTCCACAGCCAAGTAGAACTAATTCCAGGAACACAAGGACAGTTCAATCTGTAAAAGTTATACTTGAGATTTATGATATTCATAGAATGAAACAAAAACCATGGGTCATCAGAGGACGCAAAAGTATTACATAAGATAAACAACAACATGGCCAGAGGATTAAAAGGTTATTATACAATAATCAGGTAAAGATCAATATTTAGATAGGAAAATAGCTAAACCTTATTAAGATAAACTATCAAGTGAAGAAAAATAATTTTATAAACATATGGAAAGATGCTCAAACTTATTCACATAGGAAAATGCAAAGTAAGGCCAGAATAGATACTCATCATTAATCACACCAGAAAAAAAGCAAACACAGAATCAATAAGGTATTAGTGAGAATGCAACAAAACTGCACACTCAAACTTTCTATAGAGGATAACTGAGTAATACCTATCAGTACTGTAAGTGCATAAACCCTTGACCTTATAGGAATTCCACAATTCTTTTAGATGTGTGTAAGAAAATTCCTACTTACAGAGGCTGCACAATGACACTTCAGCAAGCCTACTTTGTGGAGCACTGTTTTGAAGACCAAAGAGCAGAAATAGTCAAGCCACCCCTCAGTAAGTTTCTCGTTAAAGTATGAAATGTTCAAATAATAATATTTCATCTCTAAAAGCAATATGAATGACCAGATATTGATCAATGCTTATATATATATGTATACACACACACACACACACACACACACACACACACATATATATATATATATTGCTTTTTGAGTCACATCCAACGATGCACAGGGGTTACTCATGGCTCTGCATTCAGGAATTACTCCTGGCAGTGAGTGCTTGGGGGACCATATGGGATGCTGGAAATCAAACCCAGATCAGCCACATGCAAGGCAAATGCCCTATCCACTGTGCTATCACTCCAGCTCCAAAACAAATATATATATGTGTGTGTACATATATATATATATTTGCTTTTGGGGTCACACCCAGTGATGCACAGGGGTTACTCCTGGCTGTGCACTCAGGAATCACTCCTGATGGTGATCAGGGGACCATATGGGATACTGGGAATCAAACCCAGGTTGGCTGTGTGCTGCAAGGCAAATGCCCTACCTACTGAGCTATTGCTCCAGCCCTGACGTATTTGATATGCCAAACACAGTAACAACAAGTCTCATGATGGAGACGTTACTGGGCCCGCTCAAGGAAATCGATGAACAACGGGAGGACCGTGAGATATATATATATATATATATATATATATATATATAAACTTTTTATTAAACACCATGAGGTACAGTTGTAGACTTACATTTTTTTGTGTTTGGGTTTCAGTTATAAATGATCGAGTACCCAACCCTCCACCAGTGCCCATTCTTCACCAGCATCCCTCCCACCCCCCATCCCCCCCATCCCACCCTGCCTCTGTGGCAGGGCATTCCCCTTTGTTCTCTCTCTCTCCTTTTGGGTGCTGTGGTTTACAAAAGAGGCATTGAGTGGCAATCATGTTTGGTCTATAGTCTACTCTCAGCACGCATCTCCCATCCTGGGAGGATCCTCCTAACACCCTTTATTTGGTGTCCCTTCTCTATCTGAGCTGCCTTTTCCCCTAGCGTGTGCAGCTGGACTCCAAGCCATAGAGTAAACCCCCTGATACTTATCTCAAAAATATGGAACGATTCACGAATTTGCATGTCATCCTTGCGCAGGGGCGATGCTAATCTTCTCTGTATCGTTCCAATTTTTAGTATATGTGCTGCTGAAGCAAGCACGCCCCTAATATATTTTTAAGAGGGGATATATATAATTTATCCCCTTATATATATTATAATTTATATAAGAACTATGAACTCAGACACACAAGAATGTTCTGGAGGGAAACTCAAAAGTAGTTTTTCTGCAAGAACGACTAAAAGGTAGAGGAGTAGAGCGATGTACAAAAGAAATTGGAGGCACTTGCTAAGGTTTGTCAATGGGTACAGTTTTACATGTCTGCCACTGTGTAAAAACACATGCAAGTTCACTTAGGAAACTTGCAGTAACGGGCTAGAGTGATAGTACAGCAAGTTGGTTGGTTACCTTGCACACGGCTGGTCTGAGTTTGACCCCCGGCTTCCCATATGGTCTCCCAAGCACTGGCAGGAGTAATCCCTGAGAACAGAGCCAGGAGTAACTCCTGAACATCATTGGGTGAGCCCTCCCTCACTCCCCCTAAAAAGTAAATATTTAGGGGGGAGGAAGGAGCACAGGAGGAAGTTCCAAATATTGGATCCCCAATATGATATGGCACCGAGGCACCACCAGGTATATCTCTGGTGCCGCCAACAACTTTAATGTGTGGCCCAGTGGCCTCTAACACTGCCAGGACAAGTATTGCCAGGGTCCCTGAGTCACCAAACACCACTGTGAAAATGCCCAAGTGCCCATTCCCCAAGAAACAATGTATTTATGTTTTTTAATAAATTTTAAACTATTATTAAAATAAATATTTAATGAGTACTTACTACACGCTATCATTCCAGCCCACGTTTGCCTTGCACGTGGCTGACCCAACCGACCCGGGTTCAATTCCTCCGCCCCTCTCAGAGAACCCGGCAAGCTACTGAGAGTATCTCGCTTGCAAGGCAAAGCCTGGCAAGTGATGTATTCAATATGCCAAACACAGTAACAACAAATCTCACAATGGAAGCATTACTGGGCCCGCTTGAGCAAATCGATGAACAGGAGGACAGTGACAGTGACAGTGACTTACTACACGCTCATACTAACCCAGTAATTTGGAATTTACCCATGAATGAAAGAGTTAGACCCCAGTAGAGTTTTCCTCCTAGGGAAGCTGTAAATGTTCATCAATGATTACTAGCCAGGGGACATTTTCAATCCTACTGAATGTCAGAATAATCCACAAGACTTTGATCATCAAGGAGAGCATCTATTTTTTTGGTTCATCAACTTTAACTTTTTTTCCTTTTAGTTCACATCATTTACACCTCCTCCTGTGCTAGATGGCAGGGAAATGTAATTTTGAGGGTATATTAAAATGAAATCAAATAACATAATAAAGTATGGTGTTACTGATAATTATATAGTTTTCAACACTAAAGAAGTTTCTTTAAAGAGAGATACAAGGGGCCAGAGTGATAGTACAGCGGGTAGGGTGCTTTCCTTGCATGTAGCCAACCTGGATTTGATCCCCAGCATCCCATATGGTCCCTCGAGCACCAGCAGGAGTAATTCCTGAGTGTAGAGCCAGGAGTAAGCCCTGAACACCACTGGGTGTGGCCCAAATACAGGAGAAAGAAAGAAAAGGAAGGGAAGGAAGGGAAGGAAAGAAAGAAGGAAAAGAAAGCAAGGAAGGAAGAGAAGGAAGAAAGGAAGAGGGGAGGGAAGTTGGTTCAAGCTCCAAATGAGTAGAGAGGAATTCTTAGAAATCAAACCTGAATGACATATATGTCGTAGACAGGTAGAGGGTAGGGTAAGAGTGATGAAGAGGACAAAAATATATCCAAGCCTGACACAGCCAAATTATCAGTGAGCCATGCCTTAGGGACACATCACATACACAATCCAAAATTGTAAGGACTAGATCCATAGTCCAGCGATCTGGGCACTTGTCTCGCACATGGCCAGGCCAGCCCGGTTTTAGTTCCTGTCATCCCAGAGGGTCCTGAGTTCACCAGACTGACTCCTGAGCACAGAGCCAGGAGCAAACTCTGAGCACCACTATGTGTGGTCCTAAAACCAAACCAAACAGGAACAGAAAACAAAAGTACATACATTCAAGATAACACCTCTTCAGAGAATCCCTAAGTTCGTAACATTGTACTAAATAACATAAAAGTAGAGTAAGAAAAAAAAAAAAGGAAGAAGGGGGTGAAAAGGTTACTGTCTTTATAAGTATGCATTCACATTACTTTACACAGGTATGGTGAAGAAAAACAGACCAGAAATCCAAGTTCACGGTCTTTTCAAGGAAGGAATGCTACTAAATCACACGGTTAAGGACAGATCCAAGTTTGGCTATTCTTCAGTTCCTTAAGTGTGAGTCTAAAATCTGACACTGCCACATAAACAGAATCTTACCTTTTCAATATCTGCTGCTCATTCTGCTGCATGATCTCATGTTCTGATACTAATTTTCTCAAGAACTCTTTAGCTAAGACAAACTTTTTCTTAGATTTATGAACAGAATCATC